TTGATGGTACGGCTAACACTTAATTTATAGTGTTTATCACTCTCATATTTGTTACATTTTCCCCTTCTATCAATGCATCTTCGATACTTTCTCTTATATTTTATATCTAAATCATAAATATTTGATCAATGGCATTTAATAGACCTAGGTTGTGTTTTTCTATTCTTTTATCTTAGAACCATCAAAATCAAACAAGCCCTTAGTTAACAGGAAAATATCATGAGCAAACTCACCACAACCAAACAGGTTGACTCCCTCATTTCTTCCCATCACACTTTATATCATCTAACACTTTTTCGGTAAATAGAACTTTCTATTAACCACCCGCTTGGCAAAACCGCACAAGAGATTGAAAATACAAAGGCAAAAGCCTATAGCAATCCACATAGGAAAAGAAACGAAAGAAAAACCTACTACGCTATGCATAGACAACAGCTAGCAGTTTTCAGAATCTTATTAGGAATTCTGAGTTGTTATAGCTATAGAGACGGATCTCCTCACGAAGAATCTCAGCCAATGCATTCACAAATCGTTGTTGCTCCCCAAAAACCCTCCTACAACACTCCTTCCACTGAAAAAAAGGCACCAACACCAGATCGAAGCTTCAATTGCGCCACAACTACCATTTGTTCGAACTCTACTAATCATCTGAGCTATCATATCAAGCCAATAACTAGGGAAAACTACTATGCTCTTCAGAACAGCAGCAACCAAATCCTGCATGTAAACACACTATCATTACATATTGCAACCAATGTCTGATTATCATTATCTGCGTCCAAATTCAGGACCCTTTGGAGTTGACCCGAGCTTCCGAAACAGAGGCCACTCTGAGACTATAGCGTGTGTCGCAATCGTCCCTCCCGGGGTCTGTGGTCGCGTTTGCTTTTGGGAGTCGCCATCGGTCTTACTTGGAGTGGATCGAACATTCTTAGGTCGGCTCTAACCTTAGGGTCAGAACCGAGACTTGGTCTGCGATTTCGAGATATGGGTTCGGGAGTTCGGTTACGTGTGGGGAAGTGAAATCACACCCCACATTAAGTCGATAAGTTTTATATGTGTTGGGTGTTATTTTGGTAATTATTGTGTATTTTAAAATCCCACTAGATCATTAATATATTGCTTATGATTTAACTAATACGCCAATGGAAGTTTAGTTCATGATTAGGTAGTATTTTAGGTATTTTAGGGCATTACTGGACCACTAAAGAAATTAAATTGTATTAGTTGTAGTTTAATTATACGCCCACTGAAGTAAAAATTGAAGATAAAATTGATTAGTTAGTTGGACTCGAACCTTATTGGTTGCCTACGTACCCGTTAGACGGGGTCAAAGTCCACTTAGTTCGTTCGAACTTTGATAATTTAGTTGTAACCACGTTCCACTAATCGTGATTCTCGTATTAAGAATTTTGTTAATAAATTCTGAATAGGTTATTACGAGGTTGTTAAGAAAATATAAGAATTTTAGTTGTTAGGAAGATATTCGATGTATTAGAAAGAAACAAGATTAACTTAATCCGCATTCGAAATTTCGTATTAAGAATATTAAATAATAAATTGAAAATTAATGACTAAATCTACACATGATGGGCCGGTAGCCCAACTGGTTAAGTTCCCAAACAGAGAGCACGTTTGTTTTCGAGAACGAGTGTTCGAAACTCAGTCACCACCATTTTTTTTGCTCGTCATTTTAGATCAGAGACAGGGGGAAGGGTAGTCTCGTAAATTCTCAAAAACACGGTGGCAAGGCCACGTAAATTTTAGGAAACCTTAGGGGCAACTAAGTCATAAGTCCAAAGAATAATTATTGAAAGACACCCAACCGCATACATGTCAACACTTGATAACATTCTCCTCTAAGCTAATGATGCTTTCTAGAGAGACTTGAAAAGGCACCCAAGTCTACCTGGATGTATTGGCACCTCTGCCACTATCTCTCTCGGCTGCTCATGAAGATCCTACCAAAGGGAGGTTCGAGGTGATTATTAAGTTTGAGCGTTTACCTCAATTATGCTTCTTCTGTGGAGTTATCAGGCCTATTCTGTCTAAGAGGGTTTGGTCAGCTTAAGAGATTCCAAGATAATTTAGGATCTTCTGCAGTTTAATCAACAGTAAAACAACCAAAAGGAATTACGACTTGGACCTAATTGAGGAGCTAGGGGGAATCATACCTAAGTGAGTTCTCAATCTGTAATTAGTAGAGTAGTTAGTAGAGTAGGTTAGTAAATCAATCCTTAATCTAGTTTGCTAGATAATGAACTGAAGCTCAGTAATAGTAACTCTAGAGACCCGTGGATTCGATATTTATTACTTGTGTCATTATACTGCAGTCTCTTTCATTGGTTACACTTGGCCATTGTAAGGAGTTGTGTCGTAGCGTGTCACTCGCTCCGTTCTGTCCACTGTGTAGAACCAGGCGATGATGCCACTTGATAAACCCCAGGTAGGGCTTGGAATCAGATGCGCGCAGCTATTCGATTTGCAATCAAATTTCTCTCGAAACAGTAAGTGAATTGGATAGGTTTGCGGAGTAGCTCTTTCGTGCAATTGCTCACAAGGGCAGAGGCTCGAGAAGAATCGGATGAATGCTGGCCATGATCAAGAGGGAATAGCTTGATCGATACAGCAACGAGTGCCCTAGAACTCGTTCTAAGCAACTCTCAATCACAAATACGAAACTTGTGAACCAAACTTGACGTTTGTCTGCGATTAAGCAAAAACTGAGTTTACAACACAATTGAACAATCTTAAATAGACCTAGGATAGCTAACAAACTTAATACGGAAGTTCTATTCTCAAACAAACAAGGAAATCAAAATCAAAACAGAAAGGTAAAACTCCAGTCGCAATCCTCAAACAAACAAGGAAATCAAAATCAAAACAGAAAGGTAAAACTCCAGTCGCAATCCTAATCCGAATAGGATTCAAATTCTTGAGGCAACAAGACAGTTTCCTTCAGGTTTTGAATGATCTTGCTGGGCTTCGTTCGATGTCCCCCAAGCTTCGTTCCAGCTATCCAATTGATAGCATCGTATATTGCACATGTTTGCACTCTTGTTTCCTGACCATTTTAGCTCGAATTTGTGATTTCTTGGCCTATTTTACGCTAGGTTTTGTTGTTTTGTCATATCTCAGGTCCTAGCGAGTAAAGGGAGCTAGGGGGACTCATACCCGAGTGACTCTTCCCTTGCTAAAGAACTTTGAACCATTTACTGCTTTCTTACTACTTTTAGTTAAAATCACAATCACTCGACTTAGTTTACTAGATAATAGATAATCACGGAGTAGGCAGTAGATCTAGACCCCGGGTTGATAAATAGAACTTTCCACTAGTCTGCATTTCCGGACTGCGATTACACTTGGTCGCAGTTTGGTGTTGTATTTTAGTGTGTCACCAATACCACGTCGTTGGAGTAGAAACGTTGAACTTTCATGTGGTGCAAGCCGCCAAGCTCGACTTGCATCCAGGAGTTTCGACGAAAGCCTCAAAGTCATCATGTCGACCACGCTCCATGCCTTAGCCGTTTTCTGGCTATTTCCTAATTGCGATGTATGGTTTTGAGGGCCTTCAAACTCGATCCTCCCAGCTTCCTTTCGAGCTCCAAACCACTCCTTCGTGTAAAGCAACTTCCCAGCTTCCAAACAAACTATTAAAGTTGAATTTCCATAGAACCAGTAAAGAGTTCCAGACTTGTGAACTTGGTAGTTTGAAACGGTTAAAGGACTTAACCAATTTTTAGTAATGTGAACAATGCTTGAGGTCACTTGTTGTCTGGGCCATTCGAACCTGCTAAAGGACCCAATTGAGATCATATCATTATTTAATTAATTTAGCATCACTGTCTTGCTAGTACAAGAAAATTAATAGATGAAATTAAATTATTTTTCTCCCTTGGAAAACTGAAAAATGAAGACAATTAAAACAACAATTTAATAATGCTTAATAATGTGGCATCAACCGTCTTACCTCTTTTATTCTGTTTGAGCCCGATCGACTGGGGGTCGCTCGGGTCCAAGGGGTTTGGGGTGTCAGCCATGACCTTGAAAGGGTAGGCGCCCCTCCTCGTCCGAAGCAGAAGAAAAGGAGAAGTATGTAGAGAGGGAAAGTAGAGAGAAGATAGAGTAAAGAGTAGATGATCTTATTTATGAGGAGAGAACTCCTATTTATACACAATTGAGGGTTAGGTAGTGGTCTGGGCGCCTGCCAAGCCATAAATGCTCTGGTCGGGCGCCTCAGACTCTCTGACACTGTTCATAGTCCTTTTGGCAGAGGGTGTCCCCCTGCCCCTTGTCCTTGCTGATGTCAGGTGCCTGACCTTGTCTTTTGTCTCCCAGCCTTGTCTTTTTCCTCTTGTCTTCTTTCCTTCTTCATGCCATTAGCCATGATATTAATCCCTTAATTACTATGATACCCTATCAATTGCCCCTTTTGGCGATGGCACAACAGTGTGGCATCGGCAAACAAATATGTTCTAACAAGGTCTAAAAAATGAAGCTGAAAGGAAGGTCAACTACTAAAATAAAAAATAAGAATAAAAAATAAAAGTAAAAATGAAAATAACAAATGAAAATGAGAACAGGGAAGAATTAAAAAAATAGGTATCCATACAGGATAGGAATAAAGAAGACGAATACAGAAATACCAATTCGTAAGGATAATGCCTCTGCAATCATGGCGTCTTTGAAAAAAAGTTTTAGGGGGGATGCGAAAGCGTTACCCCCAATAGACTACTTGTGGTGGTAGTGGGTTAAACCCTCCACCAGACTCAGGCCAACTTGAGGGGGAGGGTGGATGGGTTGGGCTTTAAAGAATAGCCTGCATTGGGAAACGCCCATGTCTCCCCCACCCCCTATTTAAGCTGATTTTTCCCCCCCCTTCCTTCACTTTTTCGGCCTCTCTCTCTCTCTCCTCCTCTTTCCCTTCTTTTCGCCATCTGCTCCCTCGGCGCCCCCATCCCTTTTTCGCAGGCGCCTCTCCCCTCTCGATTCGGCGCCTTCTGCTTCCGGCCGCGCCTCCTCCTTCGTTAGGTAAGCGCCTCTCCTCCTTCCATCACTTCTTCGCCCGCTCTCTCCTCCCCTTCTGCTCCCTCAGCGCCCCCATCCCTTTTTCGCAGGCGGCGCCTCTCCCCTCTCGATTCGGCGTCTTCTGCTTCCGGCGCTCCTCCTCCTTCGTTAGGTAAGCGCCTCTCCTCCTTCCATCACTTCTTCGCCCGCTCTCTCCTCCCCTTCTTTTCGCCATCTGCTCCCTCAGCGCCCCCATCCCTTTTTCGCAGGCGCCTCGGCCCTCTCGATTCGGCGCCTTCGCTGCTCCCGGCCGGTGCCTCGTCCCTCGTTAGGTAAGCGCCTCTCCTCTTTGATTGGCTCAAAGGCGCCTCTCCCACCTCTCTTTTTCGCGGATCTTCGGCGCCTTTGTAGCGCTTTGCAAGTCCCTCGGCTCCTTTGATAATGGTTTGATGATTTGAATGGATGCTTTGTACTTTGCTTTATGTTGTGGTTTGGTGGTTTGAATGGTGACGCCTTTTGTTTGTGGTACCCTTGGCTAGGCGCGATTTTGCTTTTAGGTTACGGTATATGCATTTCCACAAGTAGTTTGGTAGTCTGGATCAGTGGCGCCTTTCTCTTTGTAGGCGCCTTGCGAAAAGTAGCGAAGGCGCTCCTTTGTAGAATTCCCTTTGGTGATTTTAATGTGATGCTGCTTGTAGGCTCCTTTGTGAAATTCCTTTGTTTGCTCGCAGGTTTCAATTCTTAGAGGCAGAGGCGCCTCCCTCTTTTTATTGTTGGTTGCTTGAATTTGCTAGGGCGAAGCGCCTCCTTTTGCTTGTTACCCAGTTTTGATGATGCTTTTGTGGGGCGCCTCTGATGCTAATGATTTTGTGAGGCGCCTATGACGGATTTTCTTTCGTGATTTTAATGTGTCTTCTGTAGGCTTCTTCCAAAAGCTGCTCTGCTTACTCGCGCCCTGACACTTTGTTTGCTCGCAGGTTTCAATTTCAAGGCGTCAGAAGCGCCTATCACAGCACAGTCACGGGAGGCAACGGTTTTTTACCCGCGCGTTATCGGCTTAGGCGTTGTACACGCTTCTCTTCCAAGGTTGACTTCGCTGCTTACCACTCACTCATGGCCTCCAACAATTCCAACCTCTGCGTCTGCAAGAGGCGCCTCTGCCTCTAAGAAAGGAAAAGAGAAGGCGTCCTCAGCAAAGTTAGGAAGATGGGTAAGCTACTCTCTCTCTATCTCGTTAACCTTATCGTATATTTGCTGTTTGGGAATCTTAGTGGATCGAACAGTGTATAGACGATCCAAATGGAGACTCGCCGAGATTGCTAGTGACATCGAGGATGATCAGTCATATACCCGCCAGGAGGTGCTTACTGAAGATGATGCGTCAAGTGCGGACTCCGGCCCCGTCCGCCTCTCAGATGGTTACCGATTCAGGCTATACGATTTTGCCATGGCGGGGTATGTGGGGTGCGAGGTTCCTCCCTCTTCGGCGCGCCTACTGGGTCCTGACAAGCGACCCAGCATTCAACTTCATCGCATTGTATCTTATATCCGCGCCTCGGTTACCTCGGATTGGGGATATGCGATTCCGGATCGTAATGCTCGCATCGGGAGTTGTCCCGAGGGTTGGTTTGCGGTTTACTCGGAGTATCTGAAGTGTGGTTTGAAATTCCCCTTGGATCCTATTTTGTCGGGTATTTTGGAGATGTTGGATGCCCTCCTAGCTTCCTGTCCCCTTCGCTTATCTTTCACACTTGCGCCTTCCGACTCATCTGTAAGCGCCTAGGTTACACCCTTCATTCTCTATCTTTCGTAGCATATATGCATTGGAGCGGGTAAGCATGGCTGGTCGCGGTGAAGCGCGATAGTAAGTACCAGGGCGGGTTTGCAAGGGATCACCTAAGCTCCCTAGCAAATGGTATTGCTCTTACTTCTTTATTAGGCCGACCCCCGCACTTGGCATGCGCCAACTTCGGCGCCTCTCTCGACTCTGTGGGGTGAGGGTTCGGAAGAAACTTGGGCTAAGGCTTTTACCCTTGCGAAGTCTGAGCGGGAACAGAAGCACCACATTCTTCGTGCTCCCCCTGTGGATTTTGGGAGAAAAGGGGAGAGAGCGCGCGCCCTGGGAGAACTTTACGACCATGGTATATTTCTTTCGAATGATTTTTATTCTGTGTCCCAACTTATGGTATTTGCATAACTCTTTTTTTTGCAGATTTTGACTACTCGAGCCTAGCGAAGATGACTAAGACGATTCCTGGGACTTCCAGAGCTAGGGCACAGAAGGCGCCTAGCATCCCTGCCGAGCGAACGCCCCGTTCATCTGGGCAAGGCGTTTGATGATGTCGAGGAGGCGTCTCCTCGACTGTTTCCTTCCTTGGGGTCGCGCGACCCTCTCCCAGAGAAGACCTTAGGCAAGCGCCATGCCTCGGCTGACTCTCCCATTGTGGTTCCGAAGAAGAAGAACAAGCCGAGCCTTGGGAGCATTGATGAGATTTTGGCACCTCCTCGCTCACGACGTGCCGTAAAGCCGAAGGAGCCTGTTCCAATCTCTCCGTCCGCTGCTCTTAATGCTCCAAGCGCTTTACTTCGGCCTTGAGTTGAAGAAGTTCCTTAAGGTTCCCCTTGACGAGGGTACCTCTCCTGCAGGCTCGGCGTGTCAGCACTTGTTCCAGGTATGCTCCCACACACTTTTATTATTAGTAGATCATGCTTCATTACTAATTGTTGTTGTCTCTTGTTTAGGCGATGCTTGAGGTGATTACTCTTTCTGACAAGAGTGCGGAGAATCGGATCGTGCCCATCAGAACTTTCTGCAGGCTTCTCAGTTGAAAACTGACAAGATCACCCTCCAAGGGTTAACTCTCGTCTGGAGGATGAGTTGGCATCGGTGAAGCGACAGCTTTCAGATGCCTTGGCTGCTGAGAGTGTTTCTGCTCGTGAAGAGAAAGAGAAGGAGATAGCCTTCCAGGCGAAGCGGATTGATACCTTGGAGAAGGAGCTGTTGGCGATGTCTGCCGCTAGGGGTCACCAGAAGGTGAGTTCTCTTGTGTCTTTCGCTTTCTCGCTCTCCCTTCATTTGAGCTAGGCGCATAACCACACACACTCTCTCTCTCTTTTTTTTTAGGAGGAATTTAAGAAGAGACTGATCAAGGAGCGTGAAGATGCCGTAGATACCCACTTGTCATCAGCGGAATTCCGTGAGTGGCAGCAGAACCTGCTGCTCGGAGTAAGAAGAGGGCTTTCATCGGCATTCGCAAGAAGGTCCGCTCCGATAATCCTGACATGAAGTGGGATACTCCGGAGGTCTGGCAGGCTATGGATGACTACTTCCTCTCCCTTGGTACGGATAACGAGCCTTCTGACTCGGACCCGTACCCCTTAGACGAGGGTGACTCTTCTGCCGATGATGTGGAGGTTGACGTTGAGAAGGTTGGGGAAGAGGGAGTAGGTGACAACGTTGATGCCAATGCTGGTGCCGGGGAAGGTGGTGGGGACGTGGTTGCTGTTGATGGTCAGGGTGGCGCCTCGGATGGTGGTACCGATGGTGACTCTAGCTCGTCCGACAATCATTCGAGCAAGTCAGACTAGTAGAGTTGGGACGTTTTTTCTTTTCCTTGTTCGTTTGGACTTAGTCACTTTTTATGTTATCTTCTGCTCATTTCTCCTTTGCATGTCTGTGGATGTTTTAGCCTTCGGGCTGTTATTTTGGAACAGCGTTATCAGTAAGTTTTCCGTTTTCTTGGACCTATTGTGAATGTTGTTTCATTCCTGTCATATATTTGATAGGAAGTGGTAACGCGCCCAGGCTCTTTCTTTTTGGGTCGCCCATGCGTATTCTTGAAAAAGAAGCGGCGTGTCTAGGCTTCTCCTCGACGGAGGAAGCAAGTTTTAGGTTTCCTCACACGTATTCTTGAAGAAGAAGTAACGTGCCTAGGCTTCTTCTTCACGAAGGAAGCAAGCTTTAGATTTCTTCACACGTATTCTTGATGAAGAAGTAACGTGTCTAGGCTTCTTCTCGACGAAGGAAGCAAGCTTTAGGATTCCCATGCGTGTTCTTGAAAAAGAAATAACGCGTCTAGGCTTCTCCTCGACGGAGGAAGCGGGTTTGGGTGACCCCTTCTGCCGAGGCAGGAATTTTTACGAGGGATCAATTTTATCGCCTCTCATGGGGACTCGCACAACGAGCGCCCGATACTTGGATGAAAACCAAGTGTAAGCGCTAGGGCTCTTCCGCCGGTTCGCGGGAAAAATGTTCCGCTAGGATGCTTATCCTAGACAAAAACTTAGCTTTTCTTCCGTGTGCTCTTGAACAAGAGGAAACACGCTTAGGCTTCTCCTCGACGGAGGAAGCGAGTCAGGAGAGACTCCATCTGTTAAAACAGGGATAGTTTTGCTTTGCCGAGTAATGAGTCTCCATTCCTTGAGCAAAATAAAGGGTTACATGGGGTATCGCCAGGGTGCGTCCCCTTTCCCATAAACTTCTATCAATGACAATCTGAAGAATGACTCCTATGCTGCTACCTTTCTTAGGGTATCTTTGGGTTACACCTCTTTGAAGGCGTCCCTCCCCCCTACAAAATGCCTATCTTTTGGAGTACTTTGAAGTAAAGAAAAGTAAAGAAAACTGAACACACTCCGATTTTCCTTAGGGTGTCTTCGGGTACGTCTCTCCAAGGACGCCCCTCTTCCCTACAAAATGTCCATCTTCCGACTACTCTCGTGCCTCCTGGTCGCACATGTACTTCCTCAGATGCTTTGCATTCCAAGTCTTGCTCACACGTTCTGCCTCCATGGTGGCGAGCTTGAAAGTGCTTGGTCCTATTACCTCCCTTACGACAAAGGGTCCTTCCCATTTAGCAGCCAACTTCCCATGATTCGGGTCAGGACGGAACACCTTCCTCAGGACAAGATCTCCCTCTTCGATGTGATGTGGCCTCAGCTTTGAGTTGTAGTATTTTGCCAACTGCTCCTTATCCTCCACCAACTTCTTAAGTGCCTGAGCTCTTTTCTCGTCTAGCATGTCTAGTTCATGAGCCATGCTTGCGTTGTTTTCCTCGCCGAAACATTGGACACGTAAGGTGGGCAACGCAACTTCCGTGGGGGTTACTGCTTCCGCACCGAAGGTTAGGGCGAACGGGGTCTCGCCTGTGGAGCTTTTGGGGGTGGTGCGTAGTGCCCACAGTACGTGAGGGAGCTCGTCTACCCAATTTCCTTTCTGCTCATGAAGACGCTTTTTCAGTCCTTGAAGTATGGTTTTGTTTGCCGCCTCTGCCTGTCCATTTGCTTCTGGGTATGCTACTGATGAGAGCTTGAGCTGGATATTGTAACTTTGACAGAAATCTGCGAAGGAGGTACAGTCGAACTGTTTGCCATGATCAGTGACAATAGAGTTTGGGATGCCAAACCGTGCAAGTATGTTGTTGAAGACAAATTTCTCGACTTGCTTTGCTGTAATGGTGGCCAGCGGCTCAGCCTCGATCCACTTTGTGAAGTAGTCCACTGCTACTATAAGGTATTTCCGTTTTCCCGATGCTTTGGGGAAAGGACCCACCAGATCCATTCCCCACTGGGCAAAGGGCCAAGGACTGACGTTCCCTTGCATTGCGGTGGCTGGAAGGGTGCTCCTGGGCATGGGTTTGGCATGCGTGACATGCCGCAGCAAATTGTTTTGCATCATTTCTCATGGTTGGCCAATAGTACCCTTGCAACTTGAGTGTTCTTTCCAAACTTCTCGGCCCCCCATGTCTCCCACACACACCCTCATGAATTTCGCGGAGTGCCCACTTTGCTTCAGCTTTTCCCAGGCACCTGAGATATACTCCTCGAACGACCGCCGGTGTAACTCCGAGCCGATAATGGTGCAACGTGCCGCCCGCCTTCTTACTCCTGTGGCCTCTTTTGAATCTGTCGGAATGGTACCATTCATGAGGTACTCAACGATCGGCACCCTCCAATCTTGCTCCTCTTGATTGACGTTAACACTGTTTACTCCCATCTCCTGAGCGTTCGGGCTTTCCTTTTCGACAATTACATGTCGTTCCTCTTCAAAGTCGACGGCTGTGGCTAATTTGGAAAGCGCATCCGCGTGCGCGTTGTCACCTCGCGCTATATGAGAGAGTTTCCAATCCTCGAAACCTTGAGCCCTCTTCTTTGCTTCTTCCACGTAACGCAGCAAACAATCTTCCTTGACTTCAAACTCCCCCAGCACCTGCCGAACCACCAATGCGGAGTCGGAGAAGACGTCTAGGCGCCTTGCCCCTAGCTCCTCTGCGATGCGCATTCCGTTGATAAGTGCCTCGTATTCTGCCGCATTGTTGGTTTTAAGTGTTGAGAATCGTAAGGCCACTTCGTGCGTGACTCCCCCTGGCGTTTCCAAGACTATGCCCGCGCCTGCACCTGTCTTGCTTGCCGCACCATCGACAAACAGCTTCCACCTTCCTTCATCGATCCCCGTAGGCTCGATCGTTCCTTCTGCCACAAAATCTGCTAGGACCTGAGCCTTAATTGAAGGTCGAGGAGCATACTGGATATCGAACTCACTTAGCTCGACTGCCCATTTGGTTAGACGTCCCGAAGCACTTGTGCTGTGAAGAATTCTTTTCATTGGCAGGTTAGTTAGTACCGTGACCGTGTGTCCCTGGAAATAGGGCCTCAGTTTCTGGGCGGCAGTTACCAATGCCAGGGCTGCCTTCTCGATGGCTGGGTACCTTCTTTCAGTTGGGAGAAGCGTCTTACTAATATAGTATACCGGCTGATCTGCAAGATTTTCAAGGTGACGCCTAACAAGCACCGCACTGATAGCCACGTCCGATATGGCTATGTAAAGGAACAAACGTTCTCCCTCCTTTGGAGCTACGAGGATGGGGGGATTCACTAGCAGAGTCTTCATCTCTTCGAACGCCTTCTCACATTCTTCCGTCCACTTGAATTTGGATTTCTTCTTTAGAGAATTGAAAAGTGGGGCGCACCTATCCGCTGACCTTGGATGAACCTGTTAAGAGCGGCGAGTTTACCTGCCAACGCCTGAACCTCTTTTACTGTTCTTGGTGACTTGAGTTCGGAGATCGCTTTTATCTGCTTCGGATTAGCCTCAATACCACGGCGAGTGATCATGAAGCCTAAGAATTGACCCGCACCTGCTCCGAATACACACTTGAGGGGGTTAAGCTTCAGATTGTGACGCCTCAGGTTCTCGAACGTCTCCCTGAGGTCGCTCAGATGGTCACCCTCTTTCTTGCTCTTGATTAACACATCGTCTACGTACGCCTCCACATTTCGTCCTATCTGCTCTCCAAATACCTTGTCTACCATCCTCTGATAGGTGGCACCCGCGTTTTTCAGACCAAATGGCATCACTACATAGCAGTAGTTCCCGTATGGGGTCATGAAAGCCGTTTCTCTCTTGATCTTCTTCGCTGAGAGGGATTTGGTGGTACCCTGAAAACATGTCAAGAAAGCTTAACATTTCGTGATTGGAGGTGGCATCGACCAGCTGGTCAATTCTTGGTAAGGGGTATGGGTCTTTCGGGCATGCTTTGTTTAGCGAGGTGAAGTCAATACACATTCTCCATGTCCCGTTGTGTTTCTTGACTAACACTGTGTTTGCCAACCACTTCGGGTACTGCACCTCTCGGATGAATCCTGCCTTAAGTAACTTTTGTACCTCTTCCATCATGGCCACCCTCCTTGCCAACGATGCTCCCCTTCTTTTTTGCTGTACTGGCACACTTTCTGGTTTCACGGAGAGCTTATGTTCCATAAGGTCTCTGGAAACTCCTGGCATGTCTTCAGGGCTCCTCCAAGCAAACAAGTCTGAGTATTCCCGTAGCAAGTTGATCATTGGGAGGCGCATGTGCTCTGGTAAATGGGCTGAGAGTCGGGCGACTCGGCTTGGGTCATCGGGGTCTAGTGGCAGCTCAATTTCTGAATCTACCGCTCCTGGTCGCGGCACTTCTGTTGGCCTGGCATCAATCGTGTGTATTTTTGGCTTGTGTAGGGTTGCTGCATAGCACGCCTTCGCTGTCTTCACATCTCCTCTGGCTATTCCCATTCCTTGGGGTGTTTGGAATTTCATTGCTTGATGACAGGTTGAGGCTACAGCTCCAAACTTAGCTAAGAAAGGCCTTCCCAGAATGGCATTATATGCGGACGGGCAATCGGCAATGTGGAAGTCCACTGGATGTGTAGCACTTGGCTCCTCATCTCCTACCTGACTTTTAGGCGCGCCGTTCCTAACACCTTTACTTTCGCTCCGGAGAAGCCGACAAGTTGGGCCTCTGAAGCTTGCATCACCTCAGGGGGTGTCTGCATTTGGCGCCAACAAGAATAGAAGAGTATGTCGGCGGAACTCCCACTATCCACCAGCACTCTGAACACCTTGAAACCTTCTACTTGTATGTTGATGACGAGAGGGCTCTCAGATGGGCCCTCTGGAGGATAGTCTTGTGATGTAAACGACAGGTCGGGACCATCCTGTTTTGCGATCTTCATACACCATGTGTCGCTTGCTTGCCCCTTGCGCTTCTTCTTTCGGCTAGGCTCCCCTCCCGCGATGGTTCTTATCTCCTTGACGTTGGGTTGGGGCCTAG